GATCACACTCACTCACACTTATACACTTATACACACTCACTCATTCACTCACTCATACACTCACACACACACTCACACACTCACTCACCAACACGCTGGCACGCACGCTCACTCAGCGCTCACACGCGTGGAAGGTGATCACACTCACTCACACACACTCACTCACACTCACTCATTCACTCACACACTCACTCACACACTCACACACACACTCACCAACACGCTGGCACGCACGCTCACTCAGCGTTCACACACGTGGAAGGTGATCACACTCACTCACACTCATTCACTTATACACTCACTTATACACTCACACACTCACTCACTCACTTATACACTCACTCACTCACACACTCACTTATACACTCACACACTCACCAACACGCTGGCACGCACGCTCACTCAGCGCTCACACGCGTGGAAGGTGATCACACTCACACACACTTATACACTTATACACACACTCACTTATACACTCACTCACTCACACACTCACACACTCACTCACACACACTCACACACTCACCAACACGCTGGCACGCACGCTCACTCAGCGTTCACACACGTGGAAGGTGATCACACTCACTCACTCACACTCACTCACACTCACTCATTCACTCACTCACACACTCACTAACACGCTGGCACGCACGCTCACTCAGCGTTCACACACGTGGAAGGTGATCACACTCACTCACACACTCACTCACTCACACACTCACACACTCACTCACTCACTTATACACACACACACTCACTCATACACTCACTTATACACTCACTCATTCACTCACTCATACACTCACTAACACGCTGGCACGCACGCTCACTCAGCGTTCACACGCGTGGAAGGTGATCACACTCACACACACTCACACTCACTCACACACTCACACTCACACACACTCACTCACTCACTTATACACTCACACACTCACTTATACACTCACTTATACACTCACACACTCACTCACACACTCACTCACACACTCACTCACACACTCACTCACCAACACGCTGGCACGCACGCTCACTCAGCGTTCACACACGTGGAAGGTGCTCACACTCACACACACTTATACACTCACTTATACACTCAATTATACACTTATACACTCACACACTCACCAACACGCTGGCACGCACGCTCACTCAGCGCTCACACACGTGGAAGGTGCTCACACTCTCACACACTTATACACTTATACACACACATACACTCACTTATACACTCACTCACTCACTCACCAACACGCTGGCACGCACGCTCACTCAGCGCTCACACGCGTGGAAGGTGATCACACTCTTACACACTCACTCACTCACACACTCACTTATACACTCACACACACACTCACTCATTCACTCACTCATACACTCACTTATACACTCACACATTCACTCACTCACTCACACACTCACACACTCACTTATACACTCACACACTCACTCACACTTATACACTTATACACACTCACACACTCACTCACCAACACGCTGGCACGCACGCTCACTCAGCGCTCACACACGTGGAAGGTGATCACACTCACACTCACACACTCACTTATACACTCACACACACACTCACTCATTCACTCACTCATACACTCACTTATACACTCACTTATACACTCACACTCACACACTCACACACTTATACACTTATACACACATTCACTTATACACTCACACACACACTCACACACTCACTCACCAACACGCTGGCACGCACGCTCACTCAGCGCTCACACACGTGGAAGGTGATCACACTCACTCACACTCACTCACACACTCACTTATACACTCACTTATACACTCACTTATACACTCACTCACACACTTATACACTCACTTATACACACACTCACACACTCACTCACCAACACTCTGGCACGCACGCTCACTCAGCGTTCACACGCGTGGAAGGTGATCACACTCTTACACACTCACTCACTTATACACACTCATTTATACACTCACTTATACACTCACACTCACTCACACACCAACACTCTCGCACGCACTCACTCACTTATACACTCACTCACTCACACACTCACACACTCACTTATACACTTATACACACACACACTCACTCATTCACTCACTCATACACTCACTCACACACACTCACACACACACTCACACACTCACTCACCAACACGCTGGCACGCACGCTCACTCAGCGCTCACACGCGTGGAAGGTGATCACACTCACTCACTCACTTATACACTCACTCACTCACACACTCACTCACACTCACTCACACGCTCACTCATTCACTCACTCATACACTCACACACACACTCACACACTCACTCACCAACACGCTGGCACGCACGCTCACTCAGCGCTCACACGCGTGGAAGGTGATCACACTCACTCACACTTATACACTTATACACACTCATTTATACACTCACTCACTCACACACTCACTCACACACTCACTCTCACACTCACTCACCAACACTCTGGCACGCACGCTCACTCAGCGTTCACACACGTAGAAGGTGCTCACACTCACACACACACACTCACACACACTCACACACACACTCACTCACTCAAACACACACTCACTCACACACACTCACTTACACACTCACACACTCACTCACACTCACTCACACACTCACTCACACTCTCACACACACACTCACACACACACTCACTCACTCAAACACACACTCACTCACACACTCACTCACACACACACACTCACTCGCTCACACTCTCACACACACACTCACACACTCACACACACACTCACTCACTCAAACACACACTCACTCACACAACAACAACAACCGCCATTCGCCACTAAGTGGCGGTGACGTCACCACGACGCTTGTGCCAGGCTATGTGCACCCTGAGGCCACGTGAAGTGTCGAACGCCCGCTGGCAGGAGGTCACGGGGCAGACCCAGGTGCCACGGGTCGACTGACTGAGATGACTGGCTGATGCACCACCTGTGCCCCCTACTGTGCCAACCTGCTGTGCTTTAGCCACCCGGCGCTCCGCTCGCTGTTGTGAGCGTCGCTCCTCCGCCCTCCGTTGTTGTTGGAGGGCGACTGCCTCCAACTGCCCAGTAGCATCCTTCACGAGCCTCCTCCACAGAGGCCGATCTTGACACCGCTGGTACCAGTCATCGGCAAGTCCACTCAGCTCCACGTCCTCCTGTACCACATCACTCCATCTCTTCTCTAGCCCGTGCCGCGCCCGCTTAGCCCCCTCAATCCGGCCAAACAAAAGCTGTTTCGGCATGCGGTGGCTGGGCATGCGGGCTACATGACCCAGCCATCGCAGCCTTGCCTGCCGGAGGAGCTCACCGATGGGACCCTGCCCAGATCTTTCAAGGATTTGTGAGCTCCTCACACAATCCAGTCTGGTTAAACCCAGGATGGATCGTAGGCAGGCCAGCCTAAATGTTTCTAACCGGCGAAGATGTTCCATTAGGGGGGTCCACGTTTCGCAAGCATAGAGAAGGGAGGGAATGACCGTGGCCGAGAAGACCTGAAGCTTAGTGCGGAGCGACAGACCAAGTAGCTTCCACACAGCGTTACGCAACCGATGAAAAGATATTGCCGCTCGACTGATTCGGAGTGAGACCTCTGCTGTTAAACTGGAGCCAGTCATAAGCACACTGCCCAGGTATGGGAAACTCTCCACTCTCTCCACAACTGCCCCATCACCGATTGGGAGTTGTGGGGGTGGAGTGTCCGATGGTACAAAATACCCAGGCAGGTGCTTAGTTTTGGTGGGGCTGATGGTAAGGCCCCACCTCTTAGTGGCACGCTCCAGTCTCAGCAGCAGCATCTCCAACTCCTCCTCTGACTGAGCAGCTATTACCAAGTCATCAGCATACATAACGTGGTTGAGCAATAGGGAGCCATCCCTTGACCGCACCCGGGCATCGATTAGCCTCCCATTATATCTGTACCATATGGAGATTCCCCCGGTACAGCTATTGAAGACTTCACGAACTACGTGGTCAAAATAGATGTTAAATAATTTGGGAGCCAGAGGACATCCCTGTCGCACCCCAAGGTGTACAGGGAATGGCTCTGACTCCTGGCCACGTAGTTTTACCCACACACACACACCCCACACACACACACAACAACAACAACCGCCATTCGCCACTAAGTGGCGGTGACGTCACCACGACGCTTGTGCCAGGCTATGTGCACCCTGAGGCCACGTGAAGTGTCGAACGCCCGCTGGCAGGAGGTCACGGAGCAGACCCAGGTGCCACGGGTCGACTGACTGAGATGACTGG